GGGTGTGTGAATTAGTGCAATTACTCTAGAAAACCATTTAAAATTATCTACATATGTGGAACGTACGTAAACCCTAGGGCCCAGCAATTTCATTCCCAGATACATAGTCGACGGCAATGTGCCAATGTGTTCAACGAAAGACCTGGGCGAGAATATTCACAACAACATTATTCGTAATTTCCCCACACTTGAAATAGATGTCCATCCAAATACACCGTGGTACACTCGACGATGAACCCTGTACACCAATTAAAACGAGAGAACCAGATCTCGGTGGACTGAGGGGATGTCCCGCCCACACACACTTCCCCGACGAAGCCACGCAGTTCCTGCCACCAGGCATTGCACTTCCTGTTCCCATGCCCCCGCGTGTCCGTCCCTCCACTCCTCAGGTGTCTGGGTCATTCTTTTCTTTATTAATCTTCACCCGAGGATATTTTTCTATTTATCTTCAGATAGAGAGAGAGGGAGAGAGAGGGAGAGCAAAGGAGAGAGAGAGAAACGTCAATGTGAAAGGGACACATTGATTGGTTGCCTCCCACACAACCCCGAACAGGGCCTGGCATGAACCACCACCGAGGTATGTGGCCTTGGCCGGAATCGAACCTGTGACTCACTGGTCCGTGGGCCGACGCTCTGCCGCTGAGCTAAACCAGCCAGGGCTGTCTGGGTCAGTCTAACCTTTCAGGCCTGTCATTTCTTCAGAGGGTTTTCCCAGTTGCTCTCAGTCTCATTACCTCTTTCTTCATAGAACTGTAAAAAAAAAAAAAAAATGTAAATTTCTCATTTTTATTTACCCGTTTACTTGTGCTAGAAAGGAGAAAGATTCCTCTGGTTCTTTTGGCTGGCCGAATAATAGATCAACAAGAGAAAATGAAATGTAGTTTTGTGTGCACGGGAACTCATAGACGAGAGAGAGTCAGAGACCCCGCACACATGAGCGGTTCCAAGACAGAAGGAAAATGGGGTACCTCCTGAGACCTTCTGAGCTAGGGACAAGGTCAGGTGCCTTGGGGGCTTCAAAGGGCCACTGCAGGCTGATAGGAAGAGCAGACATTCGGTCATTAGTAGTTTGCCCTGCCCCATGAACAGATCAAAGGGTTATCTCCGATAGCCTCTTATTCTGGGCAAATTCAAATTCTTCTAGGTAGTTAAGCGGGGCTAGAAGTTTCTCTTGAGACTACAGGGTCTTGGTTGCCTTTAGTTCAAAATAATCCACATACCACTGAGGCACATTTTTGGGTGGCATGTTCTGAACCCCCACACGTGCATCGGACCTGCTTTCCACCCCAGAATGTGAACTTCCTGAGGCAGGTGGCCTTGCCTGTCATGCCCCCCACTGTCACCCCAGCAGTGAACACACAGTAGGCCCTCCACTGTGGGGCAAACTCACGTGTGCCTAGCAGTCAGCACGCAAAGACTGTGCCAGAAGACCTCCCACTGGGAAGGAGAGAGATCGGGTGGTGGGCAGGAGACTCGGAGACCAAGGGGGGGATTTTAAGACAGAAGACGACGGAGCTTGTTTGCAGTCTGAGGGGAGGGATGGGAAGAAAGACAGTATGACGGTAAAGGGACGTGACGGGGAGCCGAGAGGATGGGTGGCGAGCACAGGAGGGGGTGCTGGCCTCAGGGAAGAGGAACCTGTCACGTCCTCTGAGGCAAGAGGAAGACGGCGGCCCTGGGCCAAGGGGGTGTGGGGTGAGGAATCCGTAGATGGCAGAATTAGAAGGGAGGTGCGGGTATCACTTTGCTTGAAGTCGGAGGCAAGGTCATCTGCAGAACGAAGACTACAAGCCCGAGGAAGGGACCCCATCAGAACAACGACGCTGAGCTGGCTGCATCGCCTGGGGTCGTTTCTCTACTTCCTGTCCCCCCGCCCCCGGGCAGGTGGGATCCCTGAGAGCAGGGGCCTGGCCTGTCTGGCTGAGCCTGGGCTCCCAGCACCCTGAACGGTCCTAGCTCAATGCACATTTGTTGAATGGAAGACGGGCTGAGTGAGCGAAGGAGAGGGACCTCTGGAGAAGGAAGGGCATGTGCCACCAGCGTTGCTGGTCAGCTCTTGTAGGACCCTTTCTGGGACAGCTTAGCTGCCAAGATGTAGGTGGAGAAGACACTATAGAGTTGATCTGGCACCAGGGAACCTAAGGTGCCAATGAGCGGGAAGTTCAGACAGTCTGTTCTGGTAGCTAAAGGGGCCAGACCAGGAAGGAGGAGGAGACGGAGCAGGAAAAGGCAGGGGTGCGTGTGCGTGTGCGTGTGCGTGTGCGTGTGTGTGTGCGTGTGTGCGCGCGCGCGCGCGCGTGTGTGCGCGTGTGTGTGCGCGCGCGGGCTCGTGCAGTGGGAGTTAGGAATGAGAGAGGGAAGGACACAGACTGTGGCAAGAGAGTGGGATATCGGTATTAAAGCTTTCACAGGTGGAGCAGTTTCAGGTGATGACAAGGTGCAGGGTGTGGCCACAGGAGTGAGCAGCTCACAGGACAAGAAAGGGACAGTCATTGGCAAAGAGGAGATCCAGGTGCTTAGAGGCAGGGGTGGACGTGGCCATGAGGACACGCAAGCCACCCCTGCTGGGGCGGGAGAGAAATACTGCGTGAAGGTCAGATGCCCGCGTTTTCACTGAGGTAGGAGGGGTGACCAGGTGACGCCACTTCACTCGTTCTTCCATTCATTTGTTCATTTGCTCATTCACGAAACACTGATGGTGGATCAGCTTGACTCCATGCTGAACCAGGCAATATGAGTTTTGTCATCGTCAAGGCCCTGTCATCAAGGACACGAGTCTTTGCTTTCTCTGTCCCATCCCAGGAGGGGCAGAGGGTAGCCTCAGGGGCAAGGCTTTTCCGTGGACATGGAGGCATCTGGTCTGGCACTGGCTGTGTCCATGGGTGTCCTCAGGGGAGGCCCTAGCAGGCAGCCAAGGGAAGTTGATGTGCCACCAGCCTGCTTGCCTGAGAGATGGCTCCAGGGGACCCCGAGGGTTCGGCGTCAGGGGGAGAGCACAGAGCACTCTGGGAGGAACAAGAGTGAGGACAGCGGGGTGGGGGACAGCAGGGATGACCTGGAAGTGCCCAGGGTAAAACAGGCCTCTCCACGCTCACAGATACCTGGCTCAGGGTCACGCCAACCCGCCCCTGCGAGCACCTCTGAGTGGACTGACGCCCCGCAAGCCCCGCTCTGCGTGTCGCTGGGAACAGACTGCCCCCCTCTGCCGCAGGCGTCCCTAGAGCAGCCTTGCAGGAAATTCATGCCGCTCTTCGTGGCTTTTGTGTGTGTTGAGAACCATTGCTCCTTTGTGATCTTCTTACGCAAAATCCCCTGTAAGTGCAGTGCTCATTTTCAAATGGAAAAATGATGGCGTGCTAAGAAAGACGCTGCGGGGTCCGTCCTGTCTGATGTCGTCTGTGGGGCGTCGCTCCGGCCACCTCAGTCCACGGGGAGGGAGAGGGGCGCTTGGAGAGCCGCCTGAACGCTCACAGGTGCCCCCAGCAGTTCTGAACGGGATCCTGAGACCTCTGGGAGGTAATGCTGGGCAGGAGCCTCACTGGCACCCTCGGGAAACACCCACCCACACGGTCCCCCCGGGGTGCTGGGGCGAAGGGTGTGGCCTGTCCTCTGAGCCGACAGCAGGCTCCCTGGAGTGAAAGGGAGGCTGGCTCGGCCATCGGCCAGGAGGAGTGACCCAGAGCCTGAGCCTGTCCTCGGCCCCACTCTGTGTGGGACACTGAGCCCACATCAGGGGCCAGTGATGATTCAGAAACAGGATCAGGATGACCCGGTTTATCAGCAGAGCTGGCCTCAGGCTGAGGGCCAGGGAGGGGATGGGCAAGGCCCAACCACCCCAGCCACCCACACAGTGGCTCCCCCAAAATGTTGGCTGCTTGATGTTGACATTAAAATAGAGGTCAAATATTCAGAGAACCTGACATTCTTGACCTCTGACATTATTAAGCTCAGCGCGGTTCTCAGAATCTTAGTCTCAGCCATGTTTGCCAGCTGTTTCATGCACCAAGGATATATTATTCATGGCAAAGAAACAATACGTATTTATCAAGTAATTAAAGGTCTGATTGATACATGTATTCAATAGCAAAATATGTAACAAGATGAGCATTTGCCTATTAAACAACCATTTACTGTTCTGGGTGTTGGTGATTCAGAGAAGAGTGAGGTGTGATCCCGCCCTCTAAGCAAAGCACCGTCCAGAGATGGGGACAGACGAGTAACCCAGGATTACAGCGTCGGCCACTGAAAACTGTGAGGGGGGATGGGAGGTGCGGGTGGCGTGGGAATTCAAACAAGAATCTGAAAAAGTTTCACAGGAGGCTCATGCTTGAGCTGACTTGTTCTTTCCAGGTTACTTTTTTTCAGTAGATGGTATTTGTGGTAGCTGTATTGAGATAGAATTCACATACTATACAATTCATCAAATAAACTGTACCATTCACATTTTGCTAGCCTGCAAAGGGAGATTACTCTTTTGGGAGGTAACTTTTTATTTTAATATAATTTCAGAAATTACAGAAAAGTTGTAAGAAGGTCTACAGATAGAGACATACAGATATATGGTGAGATTTTACATTAACGGAGAGACATGTTATTAGTATTTTGAAACGTTTGAGAGTGAGTTGAAGACATTATGTCCCTTTGCCATCCCTGTTCCAGCCCTAGAACCACCCAATTCTCCCAGAAGCCCCGGTTCCTTTTAGTAGACAATGGTATTTATTTATTTATGTTTTTATTTTTTAATCCTCACCTGAGGATATTTTTACATTTATGTTCAGACAGAGTGGGAGGGAGAGAGAGAGAGAGAAAAAAAAAATCAATGTGAGAGAGACACATCGACTGGTTGCCTCCCACATGACCCCAACCGGAGCCAGGGACGAACCACAACCGAGGCATGTGCCCTTGGCCAGACTCAAACCCAGGACTCTTTGGTCGGCAGGCTGACGCTCTGATCCAAACTGGCCAGGGCGACAATGGTATTTAGAAATCAAGGTACAATAGCTTCTCGGCCTTTTGGCTAAGATTAAGTGTAGTATCCATTGTTAGCAGTTTAATATCTTATATGTCCTTTATCCAAGGACATAATATATATTAAGTGGATTTCTGGAATTGGGAGACGGACTAGGCGCTTGCTCTGTCCACTCCACGCATCGGCCTGGTATTGCAGAACATCCCCTTTGGGGAAGAAAGAAAGAAATCAAGTATGGACTATTGATGTGTTCAGTGCTACTGGTAAATCATTGCTTCCAGGCTCTCTTAATTAATAGAGCTAGGAAATGATTTATCTATCTATCTGTCCATCCATCCGTCCAGCCAGCCACCCATCTATCCTTCTATCCATCCACCTTAAAATCTAGGAGTTCATTACTGATACCTCTAGTTCCAATCCAGCAACTCAGGGTTCATTCTAGTTTTCTCTTTTTCTGTATTTGTCACTTCCTTCCCTCTTGAGAAATCTGGCTTCCATTATTCATTTGCATTATACGAGGATTGTTAACTCATGCTACTGTGAGAAGTGAACTACTAACTAGTGTGCAGCAGTGACCTTTTAACATCTTGATGCAGTCCTTTTAAGATCTAGATTGTGCATTATATTCATATCTGATCTTTTACAAATTGGAGTCTTAATTTTGCATTTCCACTTAGAATTTTATGATCGTTTCTTATGTTGTTTAATATTCCTCGAAAACTCTTCTTTTTATCCTCACCCGAGGACATTTTCCCATCTTTTGTTCAGATAGAGTGGGAGGGGGAGAGAGAGAGAGAAGCATCAATGTGAAAGGGACACATCGAGTGGTTGCCACCCACACAACCCAACCAGGGCCAGGAACAAACTGCAACCGAGGTACATGCCCTTAACGGGAACCGAACCCGGGTCTCTCTGGACCACAGGCCGACACTCTAACCGCTGAGCAAAACCGGCCAGGGCTCCTAAAGAACATTTTTAATGTCAGCATGGTTATACCATTATTAATTTTCCCGATCCCCTTTTACTGGGTATATATGTTGTCGCCAACTTTTAGTCTTTTAAAAAATTATCTTATAAACATAAATGGATGATTATGAATGTCACTTGTGTTTAACATACATACCAACACTTAGGTACACAGTGTTATACCTTTGTGACCTTTTCAAACCATTTAGAACTTCTAAAACAGAATAGATTCAAGAAGAGCAAAACATTCTCGCTCGGCTTCTTCTGCTTCTCCAGCATTTGAGCTCCTTGTTTTAGGTGATCCAAACAATACTCACTGAGCATCTACTCAGCACCAAGAACTGCACAGTGAATGAAGCCTGTAATCCAAGGTAAAAAGACCTGCTGACTGGGCCAGGGCAGGTTTGGACATTCTGTTTTCATCAGAACACTCTTACTAGACCTTGACGTCCCCATTTCACAGATGAGGAGACCAGAGGACAGAGATTGGGCACAGCTAACAGATCATAGAAATGAGACTTGAGACCAGGTCTTCTCAGCGCTAAAGCCAGAACTCAAGACCCTCTGGGGGCTCTTTGCTGTACCCCAAAGACTCTTCCCAGAAGCCCTTGCCCCACTCTACTTCCTAACAGGTCAATGACATCAAAGACATGTTTGAAGTGACTGGACGCACAAGTGACAAATGAACCACAAGTTTCCCATAAGGCGGAATCAGTATCTTCCAGAAGAACTCTGTAAGGGAGAAAAGGAACTTGGAAACCAGAAACAAAAGGAGAAAAAGAAGCAGAGAGGAGTGGGGCTTTTTTTTTTTTTTGATTGATTTCAGAGAGAGAGAAAGGGGGAGGGAGAGATAGAAACATCAATGAGAGAGAACATCGGCTGGCTGCCTCCTGCATGCCCCCCAGTGTGGATTGGGGCCCACAACCTGGGCATGTGCCCCGACTGGGAATTGAAACGACGACCTCTTGGTACAGGGGTCCACACTCAACCTATGAGCCACACCAGCTGGGCAGGAGTGGGGCTTTTAAGGTAGCTACTACTCATAACACACCTTGACTGAATACTTGGTACGGCCAAGTCGCTGAACCATATCATCTAATCCCCAGAAAAACCCTGTAAGACAGATGACTGATGTAAGTTCCCTCAGCTGACGAGTGGAAGAGTCAGAAATGTTATGACAGACGAACCTAGTCCTTTGGACAGGACTGTGCGACATACACGCAGAAGCAGAAGAATGAAGTTCAAGTCCCAGATCTACCAGGAACTGCGCTCTTGATCAGATCACTTGATCGTCTTAGGCCTGTTTCCTCATCTGTGAAATGAGGCTCACGGAAGTTCTTGCATGTTTATACCTCCTTTCATGCCTGCAGCACACCCTGCCTGGTGTTTTGTAGTCCTACCTTAGTGAGTTGGGATGGCTCAAATGTCTGTTTCCCATACTTGCTTTGCTCTACCACCAGTCTGAGAACTCTGACTTATTTTTACAGATCTCGCACTATCATGCAGCTACTGAAAACAACTCATTGCATGAGGGAATGATCAGAAGACCTTCTCCTTCACTGTGTACATTTGGGCCAATAAATCATGAAAACTCCCCAGCCTTACTTTATCCAACAAAAACTTGAAAACCATCGTGATGTCTGGGCATTGGCTGGATGAGGAAACAGATCTTTGGGCCCTTGAAGAAAGATGCTGTTGACATCAGGATTACAATGAGCCACACTTCCTGCGTAGAACCCTACAGGCCGACTGAGGAAGGAGAGGCTGTGAGAAGTCCAGGGAACGTTTGCTGAGCTCAGAGGTTCCCGGGCTGCCTTCGTGCCTCCGATTCTCGCTCATCCTCAGAACAAGCTGGAAGGCGGGCCCCCTTTTTTTCTGATGGGTGGTCTGCACTCAGCAAGGTTAAGCAGGTTATCAGATGGTCTGATTCCAAATCTGTTTCTTCAATTGCCTCACAAGGGACAAAGCCTCTTACATTTTTTTCCCTCGAGAGCAGTGGCTCTCAACCTTCCCGTTGCCGCAACCCACTAATGCGCTTCCCCGTGTTGCGGTGACCCCTGACCATAAAATTATTTTCTTTCTTTCTTTTTTTTTTTTTTTTATCCTCACCTGAGGACATTTTTCCATATTTTGTTCAGATAGAGTGGGAGGAGGAGAGAGAGAGAGAGAAAAAAAAAAACGGACACATCGAGTGGCTGCCACCTGCACGACCAACCAGGCCCGGGGACAAACTGAAACCGAGATACATGCCCTTAGCGGGAACCGAACCCGGGTCTCTCTGGACCACAGGCCGATGCTCTAACCGATGAGCCAAACTGGCCAGGGCCATAAAATTATTTTCATTGCTACTTCATAACTGTAATTTTGCTACTGCTATGAATCGCCATCGGAAATACGTGTTTTCCGATGGTCTTAGACGACCCCCGTGACAGGGTCGTTCGACCCCCTGGTTGAGAATCGCTGCTCTACAGAGCTGTCCCTCCAGAAATGCTTCCCTGGGTTCTTCTCGGCAAAGCCTAGAAAAATTCCCCGGAGCCAGTTGTAGGTGGAAGTGTGCATCAGTGCTGATTTTGACAGAGCACCTGTGGGCGCTCTCTCCATGAAGTGATAGTTAGAGAGGTCCAGAGGTGCCATCCGGGAGAGGCCCAGAAGCACAGACCAGCTCGGCCAGCCTCGTTCTTCCGGTTCCCAAACCTGACCGGACTGTTCGATCTCCCACAGACGTCAGCGGGCTCAACGCGTAACCATTGCCAACTGCAGAGACATTTCAGGCCTATCTAGCCAAAGCCAGGTTCGTAATAAGCTAGAGATGATTCAGGCTGATGGCATTTCCTGCTCAGGCTTTCTTGTTAGGAAGAGAGAGTATTCTTCATGGCCTGGGTTCTTTCGGGCTGTGGGTACGAAGCACTTTTCATAACCTGGGGGTGTCTGAAAATCCGTGGTCAAGGCACAGACTTGCAGTCACTTAGCTGCGGCTTGTGGGGATTGGGGGTGGAAAATGAGCTGTCAAATGCTGATAGCTGAAGGGAAGGGCTTTCCTTCCATGGTGGGAATGATAGTTGATATTCTCCGAATACACCAAGGGACCAGGTCACACAAGTCTTGACTGATTTCTCCGTGTTAAAGACTGATCTCACTTGATAGGGGAACCTGGAGAAAAACACAAGTCACCTCAAAACTGATCAGTATCTATGTGGCCTTTGAAAATTGCAAATCCAAACCCCTTGGGCAAGTTAGTGTGATTTTTAACTCTCCCCCCACCCCTCTCTGTTTATTTTAAGATATAAGTTGTCTAACAAGATCTCTTTATTTGCCTTTGAAATAAAATGTCTCTGACTCAAGTTCTGAGCTGTGGTAAACTGCTGAAGACATGGGTTAAACGTCACTGATAAGATAGATTTGATACATTTCTTGATCTTTAAAAAGCAATCTACAGCAGGATGCCAAGCTTTATGTATAAAATATTCATAATCTCAATCATGCCCAAAAGTGTATATCTGTTTATATGAATATGCATTAAAAGTAACAAAGAGAATTTGAATGTTAACGGTGGTAATTTTCAGCTCATAGAAACACAGCTGATATTTTTACCTCCTTCTTTATACTTTTCTATGTTTCCCAAAATCTGTATAAGAAGCATAGCATTCTCTTTACAAGCAGGAAAAAAAGTTATTTGAGGGAAGTCAAGCTACCCCTACAGCAGTAGTCACCAACTATTACAAATTTCAATTTTTTTTTTTTTTTAAATCCTCATCCGAGGACATTTTTCCATTTTTTGTACAGACAGAGTGGGAGGGAGAGAGAGGAAGAGAGAGAGAGGGAAACATCGATGTGAAAGGGACACATCGAGTGGCTGCCACCTGCACGACCAACCAGGGCCGGGGACAAACTGCAACCGAGGTACATGCCCTTAGCGGGAACCGAACCCGGGCCTCTCCGGACCGCAGGTGGACGCTCTAACCGCTGAGCCAAACCGGCCAGGGCACAAATTTCAATATTTTTAACAAGACTTTTAAGATGTGAAAGACTAGAAAGATTTATTTTGAATAGAGAGATTTTCTGTAAGACCAGTAACACTGTAGGTCCCTATTATTTTCTTTATTTTTTAAAAATCCTCACCAAGGATATTTTTCCATTGATTTATTTTTCAAGAGAGAGTAGAAGGGAGGGAGGGAGAGAGAGAAACATCAATATGAGAGAGACACATCAATTGGTTGCCTCCCTTACAACCCCGACTGGGACCAGGGATTGAACCTGCAACCCACCTACATGACCGTGACCGGGATTCAAACCCATGACTCTTTGGTTCACAGGCCGTCGCTCTAACCGCTGAGCTAAACCGGCCAGGGCTCCTTATCATTTTCTTAATCAGATATCATGGCATTATCTTGTTCCTGATTCGTCTTTTATTTTGTGAAACAAGCTAGTTAGAAAAAAACGTCTTTATAGGAAGAATGGTGCGGCTTTCTTCTCAATGCATCGCCCAGTCTCCGAGGAGCCCGGTCAATGGTGCTGAACCATGAGGCGAGGAAACCGCCCATTGAAATGGAAACCCTGGGCTCTTTTTCAGAGTCGTGACCCAGTCCTGCAGTTGCACGGACACAAGACTTGGGTCAGAGGCCTGAGCTGCACTCACAGCTGAGCCATCAACCAGCTGTGTGATACCCAGAAGTTCACACTCTCTGCGTGTGCATCCCTACCCTGGTTTATAGAGGAAGTCTGCTCCAGTTGCAGGCTTCTGTTTTCCCTGGCTGGGAGAATGGCATTACTGTGCAAAGTTCAAAATTGGAGACCCATTGTTAATATCCAACCGGGACACTCCTTCCCTGGAATTGCCACTTAATCTCCCGGTGCGCACCAGGTTTCTTCACCCTCGGTTTCAGGTGTCCTCCCTCAGGAAGATGTTGCAAGGGCTGACTAATGCACACAAGTGTCCCAATTGGGATGTTGCGGAGACAGGTGCTGGGAGTTCCAAATCCACAATAGGATTGCAGCCCTCACACTGTGACCAAAAGCCACCTTCTCGTGCCAGCACATGGGGTGACGCCTTACCCTCTTTCCAAAGATCCGACTGAACGCATTCACAATACATGGGCGAGCCTGGTTCAGTAAGGGGTAGCCCATTCTGAAGGCAGCAACCATACCTTCTTCAACTCCCTCCCCCAAAGAATAATTCTGATTAATATTATTTTAAGTCTTTCCCAGGGAGCACAGAAAACATCGTCCACAGAGAAAGAGGCACTACTGTTTCCTCCTTTACTCCAGGGGAAATGAAGTCCCAGAGTTTTCTCTTTGTTTTGCTTTTTAACATTCGCAGGGTGATTTCTGGGGATGGTGAGCTCACATCATGGAGCCGACAGGGAGCTGTCAGGTCCTCCCGTGCACAGGGCGGTCTGGAAGGGCGTCGAGGGAGGTGGGCCCCTCGGGCAGCGGGGAGTTTCCTGGGCCACAGGGCCAAGCTCTCGCCCACGTCGACAGGAAGATCTGCTGCTCCGTCCAGGTGTGTCCCCAAACCTGTGACGCTGTTGCGTTGCCTTCCACAGGTCAGTCCTGTCTTTCGGTAATTGTCCCCGAGACCCTCATGCCCTGTTTCTCGGGGCGGAGGGGGGGCGGCGGCAGCCGAGGGCAGGTGTCCCCGGTCCGGTCCGGAGAGCTTCGCCTCTCTCGCTGCTCTCGGTCACCTGCAGGTCCTGCGGGCTCTGCGACGGTGGGGACCGGCGACCCGCCGATCTCCCAGCACCCCGCCAGGTGCCGGCGCCCGCGGACAGGGGCGCGCGTGTTTTTTCTGAGACTCGAGGGGCAGCGTCCTCTCTGCGCTGTCCTCCCTGACGGCGCGTGGCCCCCGCCGGCGACAGCAGGAGGCAGGCGGCCCGGTATGCAAATAGCCGGCGGGCGGGCGGGGGACCGCCTCCCGCCCCGATAAAAGCTCGGGGCGGGGCGCCGCGCAGAAGCCGCTGCCTCCCGGGAGCCGGCCGTGCGCTCCCGCCCTGCGCCCCGCGCCCGGCTCCCGGTAAGGACGCGGATCGGGGACCCCGGCAGCAGGAGAGACGCGCGCCTCTCGCGCCCTGTGTCCCTGCGCCTTCTCCGGCGGGCACCAGGGAACAGGCGCCTCCGCGGCGCCCTCCCCGCGACCAGGCAGGTGGCATCTCCCAGGTTGTGCACAGGCCAGTTTGTCCTCAGGCCATAAGAGAGGCACTGCGACCAGCGGTGTGCGCGGGGTTAGGAGGGACTACGCTTATCTTGAGTGGAGTGAGATGGGTGTCGAAAAGATGGACGTCCAGGATGGGTCTCTGCCTACGTCCTGTCTTCTCCCCGGCCGGTTGGAGATGCTTTCGGGGGGGGGGGGGGGGGGGCGCGGGCGAGGGAGAAACAGAGTGAGGGGAGAAAGGTGTGGGTGTGTACACGTTTGAATGAGCAGAACTAATGGACTTGGGAGGCCGCAGACGGAGCAGAAACTACCAGCCAGGCCCAGCCTGCCATCCACTCCGCAGAGTGACACCTGGTCTTGTGGAAACACAACTTTAGTAGTCCCTGCTCCCACACTTTTTCTTCTTCTTATTTTATAAAAAAGGGAGTCCTTCTGAAGTCTTTTTTTAAATTATTGATTGATTTGAGAGAGAGAGAGAGAGAGAGAGAGAGAGAGAGAGATTCTTATATATCCCTGAAGGGGGATCAAACCTGAAACCTTGGTGTATCTGGCCAATGTTCTGACCAATTACGCTGCCCTGTCAGGGCCAAACATCTATTTTGAAAGCTAGTGCCCATCTCAATGTTGGTAAGTGAAGATCTGGGGTTTGCCCAGGTGGCCTATTGTAAAAACACCTTGTCTCATGTCTGCCTCCACTCCATCCTGCATCCCAGAATATGCAACGTGGAAGGGAGAAAATATCGTTACAGAAGGTCCCCGAGCCCAGTGTGCTGTCTCCCTGGTTCACGATGTCAGGCAGGGTTCTTTCACTGGACTGGGGAGAGTGGAAGGAAAAGGAAGCGTGCCTCCCTCCCCTCCCCTTCTGAACAGAACCACCTAGGGAAGGACAATTTGGGGGAATCTTCGTGAAGACCTGAGGGCTCTTCAAGTGGAGAGAAGAACACAATGCCCGGCTTGTGCAAGTGGGTGTCCTTGGAATGATGAAATCTGAACTGGAGGGTTAAAGGCACAAAGAATAGGAAACTGGAAAAGGGACAGATTTCAGGGAGGACAACTTCCCAGGGAAAGGCGTGGTGAAAAGTGAACGTTTGACACTTCTCTCCTCCTGTTTCTGTGCGTGTGTGTGCCTGCGGTTCTGCTCAGTACCAGGATAGAAGAAGACTGGAAACATGTCAGAGTTCTGGTTAATTTCTGCCCCTGGCGATAAGGAAAATTTACAAGCTCTGGAGAGGATGAACACCGTGACCTCCAAGTCCAACCTGTCTTATAACACCAAGTTCGCCATTCCTGACTTCAAGGTAAAGTTCCTGGGGAGGAATGAGGTGATGGATTGGGAGGAGGTGGTGTCTTCTGGAAGTCACGGGGAAAGTAAGGACAAAGGCAGCAACACTGAGAATCAGCCTGGGGGTGAAAATGGACAGTGGGAGTCAAGGTCTGGATGGGACTTCATACCATAGCCCCAAATTAGTCACGGTACCTATGGACTTAGAGCGATAGGACAGAGTGAACGGGAAGAGGGGAGGTAGGGAGCAGTGTCTTCAAAAAGTGGGAGGAGCATCTTACACACTTGAGTTCTTGGGAGTTGCTTTCAGATTCTTCCTGTTTCGTCTTCACTATCTTTGAGGACCAATAATATAGTTTAAGCATGCAGCTTGGAGAGTGTCGGCCTTGACTGTGCTCTGGAATCAGGAACAGGGCAGGGAATCCAGAATCCCTCTGGTTCTGTTGGAGAAGCAGGTGGCAGAAAGAGGTTTGGCAGTGCATGAGTGTCTACGAGTTCTTGCACAAGAGGACAAAGTTGGATGGAAAGAAACACGACAGAGAAAGATAGGCACCGTGCTCCCACCAAAGAGAGTGGGCTCTGTAAGATCGTGGGTGTCCAAGGGGAAGAGTGTGGTGAGAGCTGGGAGGATGGAGCCAGTGCGCAGAGCCGGCTCTTCTAGCGCACGCCCTCCCTGTCGCCTCTCCTGAACCTCAGTTTGCCCCTTGTTGGCTGCCACACTTGTTGGTGATGCTCGTGTTTATCAAGCAGTATGCTGGGGACCAGGAACTTGAAACGTATCATCTCAAACCTTTCCAAGTCGCACCTTCGAGATCAGCAGGGCCTAAGAAAGGGCACCGGGGTGGTAGAGCTGGTTAAGCAGCAGCTCTGGATTCTGAACCCAAGTCTTGCTGACTGTTCAAGCCGGCCTCTGTTTGCCCAGTGACAGGTGTGACAGTGAGTCAATTCAACACCCACTCATCATTTACCCTTTGAGAGGCACCGCGCTAGCCTGGAGGGGACAAAGAGGGGAAAATATAGGATCCCCACCCCACGTTCTTAAAATCAAGCTTCTTGGCAAGAAGCAATTTCACCTACCAGAGCTATCCAGGCTCCAGCATTTCCTAGTTACTTTTTAATATCTGACTGGTGGGTGATAATGTGACAACAGTTTTTTCTTCTGATCCTGTGACCAGACCTTTAAATACAATTTTGGACTGTATTGATTTCCACACGAAGAAGCAGCTTGTAAGTAGTCTGAAAAGAAAAGGACCTCCATAAATGAAGGCATGGGAGGAAAAAGCTGTCCCCTGCCCCAGCAAGATCATTGTTAGGAACCTCAGAGAAGCCCTGGCTGGTTTGGCTCAGCGGTTAGAGCATCGGCCTGTGGTCCGGAGAGACCCAGGTTCAGTTCCCGCTAAGGGCATGTACCTCAGTTGCAGTTTGTCCCCGGCCCTGGTTGGTCGTGCGGTGGCAGCCACTCGATGTGTCCCTTTCACATCAATGTTTCTCTCTCTCTTCCTCTCTCTCCCTCCCACTCCACCTGAACAAAAAATGGAAAAATGTCCTCGGGTGAGGATAAAAAAAATATATACCAGCTTGCTTGCTGGTCTATTCCTCCTCTGCTATGGGGATTAATCCATGACTAGCAGGTCACCATTGTAACAGGAAAATGAGCTGAGCAGGCCATGACATCGTAGTCACTTCTTCCTATGGCAGAAATATGATCATTTATCCTATTGGCAAAAAAAATAAAAAAAATTATTTTTAAATTTCCAAATCCACTGATTCCCTTAAGAACTCTCCCCCGTTTCCAGTTTGGCTATTGACCAAGGGCAACTGACTCGAGGCGGAAGTTACAGAATTGCCTGCCTTGTGATGAAAAGGCACCTCACTTCTGAGCCTCTAATTTCTTTACGATCTTTCCAGGTGGGGACCTTGGATTCCCTTGTTGGCCTCTCCGATGAGTTGGGGAAACTCGATACCTTTGCTGAAAGGTAAACTATTTCTTATTTACTACATACAAGCGGGAGTTGGACATTGTTGTCAGACGACACAGTGCTGGCTTTGGCTGAGCCCGTGCTTGCTTAAACCAGGTCCTTGGAATCACGAGAAGAGCCAGGGTGGGTCTGGGGAGGTCAACACCAGCATGCAGGGTCCACTGCACAGTTTTGTTTGCTGGAGGCAGTTTTAAAAAAAAAGTTTTTATTGATGTTTAGAGAGAGCGATAGAAACATCAATGAGAGAAACATCGATTGGCTGCCTCCTGCACACCCCCAGTGGGCATTGGGCCCGACTCGGGGCTCCAACTGAGAATTGAACCTGTGACCTCTTGCTGCATGGGGGGATGCTAACCACTGAGCCACACCAGCTGGGCAGTTTTGTGTGTGCGTGTTTTTCTTTAAGGGGGCTGCCTTCGAACTGAAGAGGACTGTGGCTCAAGGTGCTGACACACTTAGATAATGGGTGCAGTTTCCCCCAAGGCTTTTTCAGTGTTTTGTTCGGGTTTGTTTTTGTAGCAACATGCGCGCCTAGTAAAAAATTCAACAACAGTACAAAAGGAAAGCTATTCAGTGAAAATTGTTTTTCTCTGACCTGCTTTCCTCTCTCCTTTCCCCTTATTTCTCCTCTTTTAAAGCAATGTTGTTACAATTTTCTAGGAGAGCCTTCCAGAGACAGCTAGTACATGTAACTATGAATATACTCTTTACAAAAAATTTTTTTTCTTTATTGATTTTTAGAGAGAGAGGAAGGGAGAGGGAGAGAGAGATGGAAACATCAATGAGAGAGAATATTGATTGGCCGCCTCCTGCATGCCCCCCACTGGGGATCAGGCCCACAACCTGGGCATGTGCCCTGACCGGGAATCGAATCAGCGACCTCCTGGTGCAGGGGTCGATGCTCAACCACTGAGCCACACTGGCCGGGCTGAATATATTCTTAAAAATAATATCATACGAATGATAGCATGTATTCTGCACTGTACTTTTCTCACTTAATCACATAATTAGAAGCAGGCTGGTCCCTCCGTGCACATTCTTTTTACTGGCTGCATGACCTTGAATAGATGTTGCCTTAATTTATTTGAATTTCCCTCTGGATGGACATTTGAATTTTCTGGTCTTTTGTTTTATAAACAATCTAGAGTGACCGTTCTTTTCTGTACTTCTCTGTGCAGACGTGGAAGTGAGATAATTAGAAACGGTGGGTCGCCCTGGTGGTTTGCTCAGTGGTTAGAGCGTTGGCCCGCGGTCCAGAGACCCGGTTTGGTTCCCGCTAAGGGCACGTACCTCGGGTGCAGTTTGTCCCCAGCCCCGGTTGGGGTCATGTGGGTGGCAACCAGTCGATGTGTCTCTCTCACATCGATGTTTCTCTCTCTCTCTTCCTCTCTCTCTCCCTCTCGCTCTATGCAAAAATGTCCTCCGGTGAGGATAAACAAACAAAAACAAACAAAACAAAGCAAAAAGAGACGCCGGGTCAGAGTGTCTGCCTGTGCAGTGTGACTGTCCACATTGCCCTCGAGACATGGTCCCTATCAGCACTCCCACCAAGAGTGTATGAGGATATTTTAGAGTCTGAAAATAATTTGCTGTCTAAAAAAACCTTTACAAATCTAGGGCAAAATCACTGAAAGGATTTCTAGATCACAGAAAAGCATGCAACAGAATATACAAACCACCCATAACTGTGCCGTCCAGAGATAACCATTGTTATATTTGCAGTGTGTACATCCATTTTTTTCTACACTTAAATATGTATGCATACATATATTAATGCGTATACACCTCATAATAAAGGTGACATCATTTTATAAATATTTTGTAACTTGCTTTTCATATCCTGTTCTTCTGAGCTCACCATGAACTATTCCATGGTACTATTATGCCATATGGATTTGCCATCATTTATTAGGTGGTTTTAGAATTATTATCTCTTATTTGGGGGAAGATGAAAATCTGTTTGGCCAGGGATTTTTTTAAAGATGCAGGTGTGATAGGTGAGGAAATAGCCTTCCAGGGCCAGGTCGCACCCCCCGGAAAGGGCCCAGGCTTTGACTCTTGATCTCTGGCTCCATGGGGGGTTCCGATCCTCAGGGCCTGTGGACACGCGCTGCTTCTTCTTGTCAGTGGACTGGGGATATGGCTGCTCCTGTCTTTTCTAGTGCGTTTTTATGGAAAACGAATAATTGGGAGTTCTAGTGGTCAAACTTGGAGGATTTCTAACCTTCCGCATTGGTGCCCTGGGCCGGGAGTTTGGTTCTCTGCGTGCAGTACCCACTGCCTGTGACTACGAGGACTCCCTTGTCACTAACGTTTTGCTGTCTGTGGGCCGTCCTCGTCACCAGGGAGTTTGCGGCTCTCAGTCTCCAGGAAGAAACGAACCTTTGGCTTTCTCATCCGTGAAAGGGGGTGACAGTGACCATCTCGGTGCTTCCAGGGAGAAGTGAAGGGGAGTGAAATCGTGTTAAATCAAGTATCATCAAATCCCAGGACACGATCGGTGGCAGTTGAGAACAAATGGCCTGATCCCTAAATGTCAGCTCCTTCCTTGGGCTGCTCTGCGTGGTGGGTCTGACAGATCCGGCGGAGGCCAGACCACTGCCCTCGGCCCCCTGCCTCGGCCCCCTGCCTGGGCTGGCGACTGCTTGCGGGTTTCCGCCCCACGCACCGAGGCGCGAGGCTGTGCACCGAGGGCCAGCAGCGCTGGCTTAGCTGGACTGTTCCCAGGCCTGCGGCAGAAATGACCGCTACTTAGCATTGTCTCTTTCTGCACCTTTCTAGGCCCTTTTTGGCTACCCATTTTCTTCCTTGGTGCAAGTCCTTTATCCCCTTCTTCACCCAAGTCCTCTCTGGCTCGAACACTCTGTGGCCCGGGTTTAGTGTAACTCCCACCTTCATTTGTGCGTGGCAGTGTCTCAGTAGGCGTTCGGGCCTCGTTCCCTACCTGCTCGTTGTAGACGTTGCTTGTGGTGGTGGGTTGGCTTCTGTCCGAGAAAGAAGGTGAAGACGTGTGAACAGCAAAGGTGAGGTTCTAACTGTGACACACACAGGACCTATATGAATCAAGTCGTGTACTAGGTTTTGTTGTTGTTGTTGTTTCATTAAAAAACAAACAAACAAAAGAAAACAGGCTAAGTGTGATAAGAATGAAAGTCACTGTGTATTGTTTTACTTGTGGGCATATATACTGAAGAGCCAGCCTCGGAAGAGAGGAAAATGAGGTGGTTTGAGGCTCCCACAGTTATTTCTAGCATTTATCTAGTGCAGAGAGCAGGGGACCTTGTCTTAGAGTTCGTACTGGAGCTTGGGGTAAAATGATGGGGTACAGGAGACTGGCTTGAGGTGCGTGGCATGCCCTACCTGGTTGGAAAGCACCCCAGTGTTAGTAGGTAAATAAATGCTCGCTGGTCATGTAACCCCAGGCAGCCTGAACCCGCCGGCTCTGCTTCTGGCCAGGAGCTCGGAGAAGGGCTGGGAGTGTTCAAGGTGTATTGTTTCCGAAGTCTTTTATTATTTATTTACTGGGGCACTGGGGTGTTTTTCCACGTCGCTGGAAGGCGGGTTCGCTTACTGGATGGAGCCTTGCCTTTATTTTTGATTCGTTTTCCCTTCTGCCTTTGTTCATTTACTCTGTAGTTCATAAATACTTGAGAAACCAAATGACTGTGTCTTTGAGAAAGCTGCCCCCCTGTGTTTCATGTTTGAGTCCTTTACCTCGTAGCCCGCTTTGCCATGCTGGTTGGACCACTGTCTTTCCCAGGCACTCAGACATACCTCGTGGGCTTCTGTGGTACGTTGGCGGCTGTCACTATCACCGGAGTGCATTTCCCAGATTGTGGAGTAGCTGGTGGCTCTTCTTTTTGTTTTTAATTTTTTTTTCTTAATTGATTTTAGAGAGAGAGGAAGGAAGAGGGAGAGAGAGATAGAAACATCGATGAGAGAGAACATCGATTGGCCGCCTCCTGCATGCCCCCCACTGGGGATCGGGCCCACAACCTGGGCATGTGCCCTGACTGGGAATCGAACTGGTAGCCTCCTGGTGCGTGGGTCGATGCTCAACCACTGAGCCACACCAGCCGGACAACTGGTGACTTTTCTTTACCTGCATGGTTCCATGGAGTGCATTGAAGGTCGCTGATCAGAGTGTGGATGTATGTGCAGGGGTGCAGATCTCGGGGAGGCGGTTCTGCTAAGGGCTTCTAGAGAGAAGTAAAGTATAATTTTAAAAAACTACCCAAACTCTTCTGTTTCTACAAGAATATCAGATGTGTGTGACATTTCTTCGATGCATTAGACAAACATCTGTGTGACATTTCTTCAACGCATTAGACAAATACCAGTTGAATGTCTGTGTTCGCTGCGTGGTTTCTACCTTCCTCAAAGCTGCTTGGCCGTCCTGCTGTGTGTGCCCTCCTGCTCACTCCAAACACCGGGTCAAACCTTCTCCATGCCCCACTCACCCCCAGTATCATCTGCTCATCCTACTCAGCTCCCCCAGACCTGCGCCCCCTTCGGACCTTCTGATTTACCTTCTCTTGTTCCACCCTGCTGCACCCCTCCTCCATAGCCCTCACCAGAGAGGACTTTAACATTCTCTTGGGACTGTTTGATTACTGTCTGTCTCCCCAGCCAAGCTGTAAGTCCCGCAAAGCCAGCCTTTTGCAGTTACATCCCCAGAATGTACAACACTGTAGCCCCCAGTGACCAGCAGAATGAGTGGATGGAAGAGAAGTTCCTGGAATAGTAGAACTGCGCAAGCCTTTAGAGATCTAATATTACCCCTTCGTGTTCCAAATGAGGAAAGAAGCTTCTAGAAAGAGCCAGATGGGCTGGGGCCACAGGGCAATAGACCCTTGATCCAGATTCACCAACTTACCTACTGATGTCTGTCTGTGCCCACCTGGCCTCTAACTGGTTTCCACCAGCCTCACCAGCACTTGTCTTACTCATTACTCAGATAATTACTGTTGACATGTAAAAACAAGTAACAGAGCCCT